ACGGTTTGGACCAGAAAGGGCCCAGGCCTGGGCCACAAAGGTTGGCCCAGTTAGCATCATGGGCAGTGGCGCCGCGAAAGTCTCATCTCGGGGGCACCACCACCACCATGAGGAGGCCAGGCCGGCGCAGCCCGATGTAATAGGGTTCAGGGTTCAGGGTTTAGAGTTTAGGGTTTAGGATCTAGGGTTTATGTAGGAACCTGATTAAGAAACCCTGGCCCTATAACCCCAAACTAATTGGAATTCATACAAGGAACCCTGATAAAGAGCCAAGGCTTCTTAATCAGGTTCCCATATTACTGTTGATGATCTAAATCCTGCGTTACCTTAAGGCCCCTAAACTGTGGGATTTATGGTAGATTCCCATGGGTGATGCAGGATTTATCTCATCAGCCGTAGTTTGGTCCTTTGTCAGGGATGGATACGCGTGGGTTTCAGGGAGCTCGTCACAAACGCCATCACAGCCTGCAGTTGACGGGGCTTCGGACATCGGACATGTGGTCCTGTGGGTAGTTCTCCAAATTAGGTTCCCTTTGTAGGTCCCCAATATAGTACGGCAGCCTTATAAAAGGGACCCTAAAAAGGGACCCCTAGTTTAGAGAACCACCCATGTGGTGTCGAAACGTCACGGGCCTGAAAAGCGACAAGTGCTTCCAGGGACGTCCTCAGGCCTGGTCCTCGAAAGCGCTGGCGGTGACTAGTCGTGGGTCGAACAGAACATCGGTTTGGGCCGTTGTGTGGTGCTGGCGGGTGCTGGTCGCAGTCGCGGCAGTGGCATCTGCCTCCGCCGTGCAAGCCGTGCTGGCAAGTCCGGTTCGAAGTTCGAGGCGTAAATGCCCGAAACGGTGCTCTCCTAGGTGCAAAACTCGAGGAGTTCGAGCCTTCATCAACCAGGCTTATGAAATCTTATGAATCTAGGTTTCTGTGAGGCTTCATGGTTGAGCATGGAGCTGCGGTTCGCCGCTCTGCGCCAGGAGATGACCCCACTGGACGCCGCCAAGCACGGCGACCGGGATGCCCAGGCGGTCGTGCTGCGTTTTTGTTTTTTTACTGTGGGCGTAGTATGCTACCACAAGACAAGGTACCAGAATATATCACAAGATACGCTAGTTTATATACCACCTATATTACCAGATCTACGAGATCCAACCCTCAACCCTAAACCCTATGGGTACAATCTCTTCCTATTTCCTCATAAAGGGGGGGGAGGCTCAGGGCCTCCTTGCTCTCCTTTGGGCCTCGACTCTTGCTCCAAAGCCATAGCTCTCTAATATAGGGGCCTAAATAACTACTCATACTACTCTGCAAAGGGATCCTATAAGGTTTCTGTAAGGTTTCTATAAGGGTTCTAGTTGGGTAGTTCGCCCCTTTTTGGGGTTCCTTTGAAAAGGGTGCCGTACTATATTGGGGACCTAAAAAGGGATCCTAATTTGGAGAACTGGATATATATCTCTAAGTATCTTATGGTTTGGTCTGTGGTGGTACTGTACTGTAATATCTTGTGGTCTATGACGGTATCTTATATTAAGGTAGTGTACTACACTCTAGTATATTACAACCTCTCAAGTAAGCAGCCATATCTTAAACATCCCTTTATCCCAAAGCCCAAGGCAGAATGGCCTTGGTAAGGAGCAGAGTAAATAATGTGGTTTCTTTGTTACTGTAAGTTTAATTACATTCCTTAACAAGAGCCCACTCTGAACGCATCAGCCCTAAACGCCGAAATTCTTACATCCTCAATCCGGCTCTCCGTTTGGAGATGCGCCCCTTGCTAGCTCTGCCATGTTGAGGATGTTGAGGGAACCAGATAGGTGGGCAACAGGCTGGATTACAAGAGAAGCAAAAGAACTTAATCGGGGCTGCTTGATTTAGCTGCCTAGACTGTTGTCAACTCTCTTCCTCCAGCGTTGAAAGTCTAGAATGCTCCGAAACCGCCACTAGTCTCTCAAAACCCCTAAACCCCTAAACCCTGAACCCTAAACTCTAAATCCTAAACTCTAAACCCTAACACAGCCTCTCCAGACTTGAACCCTTCTTACACCTCTGGACTCCAGCGGCAGTCCCTGGCCCAAAGCTTGAAGCCCAGCCGGGCTAAGCCCTGAACCATAAAATTCCAAAGCTTAAAAACATCGAAATCCGAAACCCTTACACCATCTGTCACGTCATAAAGATATGAGAATTCAGCACAAAGCACGTGGTCATTAAGGCCGCTAGAAGAAGACACAACGACTATAAGGACCTGGGAGCGACCCTGCAAGACCCCATACGACCCTATAGACCCCTTGCAAAACAGCTTGAATGGGAGTTTCCGAAAATAAGGGGGTACCTGCTCTTGGGGTCCTGATCATAAGGATCCTGCTATTCAGGGTTCTATATTAGGGTCCCCTATTTTCGGAAACTCCCATATATGTGGGGAGTTTAAGGTATACAGGGCTTCTATAAGGCTCCTATAACGGTAACTACCCACCTGAAAATGTCCTAGATATAGACCCTAAACCCTAAACCCGAAACCCGAAACCCTACGCCGTGACCCTTGCAAAAGCCCTGTAGCACCCTGGAAGGAGTTTTTCATGGACCTCCTGGGCCAATACTGCGAGAATGGCAATGTCGAAGGGGTCGCGGGCTGAGCCTTTTTTTCCAGTTTTTTGAGAAGGGGGGGCGGGATCCTATGAGGATTCCTATAAAAAAAAGTTTAGGGTTTAGGGAGGAATCCTTGCTTACAAGAGTAACGAGGAAGGAAGGCATTTTGGAGAAAGAAAAGCTGCAAGCATGATCACGCCATGAATCGAGTCGTGTTGGTGCCAGTGGTGCTAGCGCTTCTTTGCCACCGGCCCTAAACCCGAAACCTGGGCAAAAGTCCAGTTGTTTTTGGGTTTAGGACCCCGAAGCAGACAAGTTAACAAGCCCTGAAGCAAGCTAAGCTTGAAGCACAAGCCTTTCCGGTATAGCGGTCTTGAAACTTGCCCGAAACCTCCAAACCGACTTCACTTTTGTTTCTGCGTTAGCGCCAGGTGGAGAAGATTGCAGATGCGTGGTCAGGCTTTCGCAAGCTCCGTGGTGCCAGCGAGGCGGCTGTGATTGCTGCCAGGCGGGATATCGGACTGTCGAGGATGAAGACTGAGATGTGCTGATCCTGAGCTGGCTTCGCGATCTGAACCACGGTGCATTCACAAGTATGAGGAAGACGTAGTTGACGCAGGAAATGTTCTACTTGCAACATGGAGTAAGGCACTTGCAGCTAGAATGGGATTTCTATTGCGTGTGGCGTACACCCCAAAGCCTTTGACAGCCATGGGTCCATCAGCCAAGCACAGGCACGGCCAGCACGAAATCCTCGAGGTGCGGTGGCAGAATCGCGCTCCAAAGCCGTCAACCCCAAGACCCTCGGGGTTAAGGGATTTGGGGTTGAACCTGGAGCCCTGAAGCTCCTAAGAGTTTGCACCCTGAGGCTTAAAACTCTCCAGGCCACCCGGCAAACCCCCAGAAAGTCCAACGCCCCTCTGAAGCCGCCCTCGCTGCAGGTGATGGTAAAGGCAGAGTTCCGGCTCCGCGTGGACAAGAACGACCGCGAGGCCGGCCGGCTCTTTGTCACTTTGAGATGACGATAATGAGACTATGGTGTTTGGTTTAGGGTTTAGGGTTTAGGGTTTAGGGTTTAGGGACTATGGTGTTTGTGAGGCGTTTTGTTTGCGTTTTCTAGGGTTCATAGGCGTAGGGGCCCCAGAGGCTCTTTTCAAAAAGGAGCCTTCGGTGAGAATGAGGATAAGGGCTTAGAAGGGGCTTCTAGGATTTGATGGGGTGAGTGTAGACTAAAATATACGCAAAGAGGAACTGTAGCGGTTCCAGAAGCCCCCGAGCATTGCTCCAAGCCTGTGCAGAGTCGAATGTTCGCGGAGACTCCCAAACCTGTTCAATTAAGAGATTTCTCTCCCGCCCAACACTTGAACGGCAAAAGCGCCAGACCTCTGCGTACCCCAAGCCTGTGAAAGTGTCGCAGCCTCCCAAAAGCACTGAGCGATAAGTTTCTTGGAAGCTTGAAGCAAGATTCTAAGGTTAGAAGGATCTCAGGGTTAAGGGCCCATACTAGGGGTCCATGGTTTCAACCCTAGAAAGATTTTGTGGCAGCACTCCATCAGATCAACCCGCTGATGATGGCGCTCCGTGACCTGACTTCACGTCTCCGACGTCTCCAGGATCTGAGGGTTCGGCTTAATTGGGGCCTCAAGAACTACCTATATTATTTTGGGGGGCTCCTTAGTATAACTATAGTATAATGTGCCCTCAAACCCTATCCTAACTATTTACATTATTCAGTTCTGAGGAGGCGTTTCGTGGGAAGGTGTAGAAAAGTCCGGTTGCCGCCACGGCTGGTCCTGTCAAGTTCCGTATCCTTGTTCTGACTACCTGACGGCCTTATCTAAGCCCTTGATTCAAAGATCGAGTTTGAGCAGACAAGTGTTTTCGGGCGGGGGCGGTGATCGTACAGATGGGCAAGCAGGGACCTCTCGCAGTTCTGGCTGTGATCCTGTCTCTGACCTGCCCAAGCACGTCACCCCCAAAGCCCATTTTTTCGCCCGAGTCCTTGGGCCTCAATTTTTGGCTTTCGTGCGCAGTCAGTGCAAACGGAGCGGGAGTGTACCCAGAGGCTCCAAAATCCCTTAATTAGGGAATATACCTTAAACTATAATGAGATCCCTAAAATGATTTAAGGTATATTCCTTAATTAAGGGGTATTGGAGTCTCTGGGTAAGCAGGAAGAGGAAGAAGGCCGATGCGGCAGTCCAAGAGTTGCAGGCTTCGTAGATTCCACGGTAGAGTCTACACATCCGAAGATCTGAAAGCTCTCTCAGCTGACTCCCCAGAGAACCCAATACCCCTTGAACAAGGAATATACCTTAAATTACAGGGCCTTAATATTCTGATTTAAGGTATATTCCTTAACTAAGGGGTATTGGGTTCTCTAACTCCCAGCATACGAGGCAAAAGTGACTGGCACTGCATCGAACCGCTCATCCCACTGGCGCTGGACAACGGCTTCGCCACCAGCACCTTGACGTCGCTGGGGGCGTAGGGTCATTTAAGGTGTGCTTAAGGGCTCCTTGAAAGGGCTCTTATCATGGCATACTTCGCCGGCTTGCTATGGCTCTTCCGGGTTCACCGGGTTCCCAGAGACTCCAATACCCCTTAATTCAGGAATATACCTTAAATTATAGTAGGATCCCTCATATGATTTAAGGTACCTTCCTTAATTAAGGGGTGTTGGAGTCTCTGGGTTCTCCCGTTTCTTGAGCTTTTTGGGTTTTGGGGTCGGATTCGGAGTCAAAGTTCAGGGCTACGCCGAGCCGCGCCGTTGCGGGATGTCCGCCTACTCTCCCGCCGCTTGGAGCTTCTGGAAAACTTCCCAGCCCCAGAGATCCCAATACCCTTTAATTAAGGAATCTACCTTAAAACATAAAATTAAGGCCCCTATAATTTAAGGTGTTTTCCTTAATTAAGGGGCATTGGGTTCTCTGGGGCGCGCTGCAGGCTTTAAGGATGAATGGGCGTTTTTAGTGTTCAGGTTTTGGACTTTAGGGTCCTTCTTAGGGTTTAGGACGTCCCAAACGCCCGGAGGCCTTCTTCAAGACGGCATGGAGCAGCTCGTCGTCGATGGTGACACTGACACGTTGACCGACTTGGCGACCAACTACCACATACCAGGCCTCAGACTCTGGAAGTATTGGGATCCCGAATGACGAGTCATCGTCATAGTATTCCTCTGGGTTCCCTTTGTGGGTTTGTCGCATAACAATCACCCGATCAGTTTTGCCCATAGCAGGAAACCGAAATTGTCTTGCTAGCAAGTAGCATGTGGAAAGGAGCAGCTAGCAGAGAGAATGCAGCAAGCGCAAGCAATAAGCCGTGAACAACAGCTCTCAGAAACAGCTGCGCTAGTCACCACACTGAAGACAAGGGAAGTAGCAGCACAGGCTAGCCGTCATCGTGACGGCCTGGCCGATATTTTTATCATCTGATCTTGGCGCTTGCGGCTCAATGATCAGATTCTTCCCAGAGATCATCGCCAGAAGTCAGTATCTTGAACCGAGTGATGGTTTATAGTTTTCTGCTCCTTGTCACTGCAAGCCCATATACCCAGTCCTTAAATCACTCAATCTAGATCCACACACTCCGATATGGGTTCCAAGATGTAGTTTGATTCTCAGGAAAATGCCTTAAGCCAGCTTGGCAGGCTTGCAGCTTTTCCGGCTTCCAGGGTGGGGTTCATGGCTGTCGCAATGAAGGGTCCGACTGCACGAAGCAGTCGAACTGCAACTTGTCAGACCAACAGAACTATGCAGAGCTGCGTCTTGGTACCGAAACCAGACATGCTCAGGTGCGAGCTGTAAGAACTGTGCCTTGCAAGCCAAACCCGAACTTCCAAGGATGACCAACGCATGTTGTGTAATAAGCGGATTGTCTCGCAGACTACTATGTACTTCCATGCGATATTCATTAGATAGTTTGATATGATATTCTATGATCCAACCCCTGAGGTGAGCTCGGACGAAGAGCCTGAAGCCTCCAAGCTGAAGCCCGAAAGCTCCGCCAACTCGGAGAGGCAACGCCAAGCTGCTTTGCAGGGCAGCGCTTCTCAAGGACAAGGCACCCAGTCCTTGCAACGGGAAAGTGTGTTGAGGGTTGGAGACATTATCAAAGTCTAGAGGCAAATGAGAGCACAGAGCTTCTAGGTGTTGAGGTTTGTCACGAAAGCTTTCAGGCTGACACAGTTAAAAAGCACCAAATGTTGACTCAAGGAATTGAGACGTTAGCCATGTTCTCGTCACTTGTCCTTGCACCGAATGGGTTGCCAGTGCTGCTACTTCTCAGCTGAAACATGTTTCGAGGATGTAGACACCGGAATCCGACACAAGTAACGTAAGCTTCTGCGACTCGTTCCATCAAAGCCCTTGATTCTATTCTCGACACAGTAGGCCGAAAGTTGGCAAGCACCCTCGATGCCTCTGAGGCCAAAGAGGTGTTCGACGTCCTGGCAGCCAGAAACTGGGCTGGATTTCAGACACGGTAGGCTTCAACAGCAGCGGCAGCTTGTGCAGGAATTCCGAGTGGCTGGTAGCGATGATGATGAAACGAGATCTTCCTGGGTACCAACATCAACAAAAGCATAGAAGAGCTGATCGCAGTCTGTGTGTCACAGCTCGCGTTGGTTGATCAAGAGCCAAACCGACGACAAGGACATCTCCTTGAACACTTGCAGCAGGAGCGGGAACAGCGGCTAGAGCACAACAGAAAGATAGAAAACAGCATTTATTGCAAGAACCATTTCGACTCGCTCAAGCATTCAGCAGGGGCAGAAGCACCACCAGCAGTTGTAGAAGTAGTAGTCGTCGTCGTCGCAGCAGCAGCAGCAGCAGCTGCAGTAGCAGGAGGAACGGCTTGTCCTCATAAGTGGTAGGGCAGACGATAGCAGGTGTCGGCGTGAAGCGACATCGAAGCTATTTCTGACATATATCCCCTTTTCGGTCCCATTGTGGTTATATAACAGTACCATGCACCCCAAGGCATGAAGGGTGAAAGCTTCAACCGAGTCTCCACGGTGGAGGCAGGGGGGGTTCGAGCTTCGATTTCGGGGAGGACAGGCGGATGGTAAGGGGTTCCTTCCGACGCAAATCCTTTCAGAGTCTGTTTCCCAAACCCCCAAAAGGATCTAACAAATAGATCCCCTAAGGGGGTTCCTATAAAGTACCCTTTAGTAGTTAGGGTCCCTAATTGGGGGATCTATTTTTTAGATCCTTTTGGGGGTCTGGGTTCTTAAGGTTTCAGGAGTTCTGCCCTGAAGCTCGAAAAAGCTGTTCCCTAATGTGCAGAGGCCTTCCCTGAAAGGAAGCTCCTCGTAAGGACAGCTTTTCGCATCCTGCCCGCCTTCCTCAACATGGTGGTCCTACGAAAAGCCGCCCTGCTTCTGGAACGAGCATCACTGATGCTCATGCCCCGCCAATATTAAACTCTGAAAGCCTATATTCTAAACCCCTGCAGCCCACGATCCAAATCCTGAGCCCGAAACGCTAAACCCTTAACCCTCCGCACTAAAACTCAGACAAAGAACCTAAACCCAACAAGCAGAAGTGACCGTCGGCATGTTCTCACAAGGTTGATTTGAAGGAGATGGACGATAAACCGGGATGGGAGGACTCGGCACCCATCCACATCGTATGCCAGGCACAGATCCTTCAAGTAACAAGTTGCAACGAAGAAAAGTGAGCGTAGTTATGGTGACAGTGGCGGTGGCAGTAGCAGTAGCAGTTGTAGTTATAGTTGGCAGGAGTAGCCAGTAGTAGTAGTAGTAGTAGTAGTAGTAGTAGTAGAAGAAGCAGCAGTAGAGGCAGCAGTCGTCGTCGTCGTCATCGCAGTCGCCGTGGCAGTCGTCGTCGTGATGGTCGCAGTAGCACATTACCAGTAGACAGCTGCAGGTTGAGAAGCGTCGAAGGCTTTTAGGCTTTTAAGGCTCAGTGTTGCGGGCTGAGGGAGAGTGAATTCAAAAGTATTCCCCTTGAGCCCTCGAGCCTGCATCCCCCCCCAAAGCAAGAACTCTTCAGGTCGAGGTCTTAGGTGCGCGAGTCGCCCTTAATTAAGGAATATACCTTAAATCATATTAGGGATCCTATTATGATTTAAGGTATATTCCTTAATTAAGGGGTATTGGAGTCTCTGGGGGTATAGGGTAGCCTGAAGCACGCTGAGCTGTGGAGTACGTGATTCAGCGGTTGAAGTTGTCGAGATTCAGGTCTGGAGTGTTCAAGGGTGTTCGCGTTTCAGCGGGCTGTTCAGAACCCCCAACATCAAACTCGAAGCCTTGAATCCTCATTGCACATGTATGGAGAGATGGACGTAAGCTTTCACCTTCAGTCCGGATAGAACTGGTCACAACAACTGCGGCCATCTTTGTTGCCAGTGTACCGTGTGAAGAATAGCTCTCCAGAGCCACCCGCGAAGCCCAATGCCCCTTCCTTAGTTAAGCAATCTGCCTTCAAGGTTCCTGTTTTTATGTCCCGTGCAAAGGAAATTCGAAGCCCCTTACATACCTACACGAACCCCTTGTGGTAACTGTGACTGTATGGGGACTTATGAAGAGTCTTGAGCTCCGTGAGGCTCTTGAGTGAAGGTCTACCTAACGAAAGCTTACAGGTGGAGGAGGCTGAGATGGCGAAGGCTTTTGTCGAGTTCCTGATGGGGAAGACCGGCGGCGATGGTGTTCTTACACGGTCATGAAACCCTAAACCCTAAACCCTGGTACTTTCAAGGTCTTCGAAGGGCTTCATGGGGTTCTGTACTTGATCTGAGAAACAAGCTCATGCCCTGCTCAAGAATGTGTGTGTCTTCGGTTCACCCGGCTAAGGAAGAAGGTGGATGTATCGAAGTGGGGAAAGAAACTCAGCGAGAAGAAGCACTCCACACGCCTTCCTCTCCATTACGCGGCGGAGAACAAGAACCTTGGGCCAATGTTGAGCAGAGGTGGCGTGATGAACTTGGTTGTTGTTTGCTCCTTAGGTCGAGGGGCTTGGTTTGTGCATGCGGACTTGGGGTGACTGCTAGGGATCATTTGGGGCTCAGGGTTTCAGATTCCCACCTCTGAAAGTTGCAGTGTCTCCTATGTAGATGTGTACGAAGTCAAGCAAGTTATGTATAGTTATGTATGTCACTCTGTCTAAGTAGACATATATATATATATATACATATATATATATATATATGGCACATTGCGTTCTCTTGCAGAAAGCCTTCGCATCCGAAGTTCAACTCGATGAGGCGACGTCTCTGTAAGTAATATCGTTGTGCAGCGCTCGAGATGCGATCGTGATCGTGAGTGTGAATGTGATAGCGACGATGTGGTGTGGATTGGACGGCGTAGGAGGGGGAAGATGCAGAACAGAATCAGGAGCATCACGACGGCCGGGATGAAAAGGAGGAGCATTACGATGACGATGATGATGACGGTGGTGATTCTTTATTGGTACTATTCCTAGTGATGTGCTTGTTTTCCATCATTAGTGCGGCCGTGATGATTTGTCGCTCCTATAACGTGTGATTAGTATCGCCAGCACTATTGATCACCATTGCTGTTTATCCAAATGATCTAATGCTGTCAGCAATCCTCAAACCGCGACAGCAATGTCCTAGTCAATTCTTTATATTAAGCTTAGCAAGCTGCACGGAGACCATTGTGATTATTTTTGAAGCATGATTTGGATTTATACTACTACTACTACTACGACGACTACTACTACGACGACTACTACTACTACTACTACTACTACTACTACTAGGCGTACGTACCTTATTTGAAGCTGTGTTTCTTGTTGCGATTCACTACTTTTACACCGCCTGTTGCCACATCTGCACGACAGTTGGGGGAGCGTAATCACTATTACTACGACGACGACTACTTCTACTAGCTACTACTACTACTGTTGCTACTGCTTCTGCGACTGCTACTAGTACATGTACTAGGGTTCAGTGGCTTGTTTTGGCGTTCTCCTGCTTTCGACCTGGCGGTTTAGGGGTTGGGGGGGGTGGGGGGGGAGGTAATTACGTACATTGGAAGCACATCCCGAAGCAATGCAGGCCAAACCCTTAAACGCCTCCAAACCCCAAGCCCAAGCCCTTAAAGGCCCCCGAACCCCAAACCCTTGAACGTTTACGGTCTAGGGTTTTGAATTTAGACTTCAGGCTCTAGGGTTTAGGCTGCAAATAGCCCAAAAGTCCTACACCCTCAACG